AAATAAATAAATAAATAAATAAATAAATATATTCTCTTTGTTCTCCAATGACAATAAATAGGTCATATAATATATGTTAAAAGAATGCTTATTAACATATATTACAGGAACTCATTTTATTTTTACATACTCAGTTCCGGACGTGACAACCCTAGTACCGGAATTTTGTTTAATTAATGTTTTTGTTTATAACTCGTACATAACGTGGTTTTCGGTTGCATTAAAAATACTCTACATAGGGATAACAAACTTCAATATTTTCATATAAATATTATCCGAATACGCCGTTATTCTTAAGAAAAAAAAATCGAAAATTAAAAAAAGGTCATATGGTCTATACGGTTTGCTTTAGAAGGCTCAAAATTTGTGAAAAGATGTATAATACAAAGCTATATATAAACCTTTAACCAAAACTAAAACAATATGAATAATAGAGGAGCTAGATGTTTTTTTTAAAATTCCTAGTTACTAAAATAGGTCAACTTTGATTTTTTTTTCTCGAAAACTACGAGGCGTAGTAATTTTTCAGTATTTTTCCAGTGTTTATAATAGCTTAATTTATAGGAATTTGGGATAAAAAGGGCATGTCACAAAATCGAGGTTCTTAAAACACTGTGCGCTGCTGTGCAAGTTTCCATACAAAATTTGACATTGACATTTCGGTTTGCAAACTATTCGAATTCGATAATGTTTCGTGCTAGGTGTAACTCATTCCGATTACGATCGAGAAACCCTTGACATATGGACAGATTAACTGACAATCGGATAAACAGACAGACGATAGTGTGACAGCAATAGGGTTCCGTTTTTTGCGCATTGGGTACGGAACCCTAAAACACTCGTGAAATACAAATCTACAAACGCTTGAATAAGGCTGCAGTATGTAAGGTCAATTTCAATAAAAAAATATATGGTGAATATGATAAACCACATCTCAAAAACTATACCTATATGTTTTGATGACCTCGCTTATTATTACTCTTATCGGTCCGCGATAATACGTGAGGACATCAAAATGAAAATACATTCAAATAAAATTAATTGAGATTGCAATGTATATCTGTGGAATAATTAACTTTTCAACTCGTATGTCAAAAATATAAAACACACTACTTCTAATCCAGTTTTAGTCGTGGATAATTTCTTGCTACTGAAAGGTTGACCAGTTAAACTACTATCCATTTGCTAAGAATAGAGTCCGCATTATATACAACCCGAGTCCACATTGTAGATGCCGCAATTTAAAGCTAGACGGTTCTGTAAGCTGTAACTTTGAATCTAACGAGTCAGAATAAAACTTTGAATGAATTCAAATTTTAAGGCAACAAAATTGACCTACATTTAAAACGTTCCGAGTCTTTTCCTTTTTATAAATATTGCCATGACGAATTTATATATCGGTAATTTTCTTTGACTCGAATTTAAGTATAAATAGCAATAAATATGTCGGTCAAACTTAACTCTTTAATACGTGTTCCTGCAAAAAATGTTTTATATTAAGATTAAACTAGCGATCATAGGAAAGATTCATGATTTATTTTAAAGAAATTTTGAACGATCTCAAACTAATAGTATGTATAGCTTTTCATTGGTAGAAGAAATTTTAAAATTCGTTTTAATAGTTCCAAAGATCACTGCATTTTTTTTATTTAATGATAATTGAACACCACATTTTTACTTTGTGACAATATAATAACCAAAATAAATATAATAATTTCGTTACTACAAGAACTATTCTGGTTTGACGACCTCCGTGGCCGAGTGGTTTGTACGCCGGGTTTCATGGCTGTCGCCGATTCGAGAGGTCTCGGGTTCGAATCCCGGTGGGGGCAGATGTTTGTGTGATGAATACGAGCATTTGTACTCCAGTCATGGATGTTTAATATGTATTTATATAAATATACTTATATATGTACAGTATATGTATTCTATCCGTTACCCTAGCATCCCATAACACAAGCCTCATAGTGCTTACTTTGGCGCTAGGCTAATTGGTGTGAGTGTCGGAAATATTTATTTATTATTTATTTATTCTATAACAGAAAAGTAATAAACAGTGAGTACAATTTTTCAACTTACATTTCTTTTTGTAAGTTGCTTATTACATTTTTTTGCTATATGTTACTTTTAATAAAAAGGAGTCCCTTTATCAATATTCAGACTTCTAGCTCAATTTTTAGACATCTAGCGTCAAAATTGTGGTAGTCGCCAGCAGTATTTCAGGACCAGTACGATCCAAAAACCTTGAAAAACAGAGCGTTTTAAAAAGTTTCATACATACTTTCATCCCCTGGTTTAAGGGGTTGGAGGATAAAAGTTAGTAATACTAGTTTCTAGGACATTAGGAAATACTCTGATAATTCAGATGATTATCAGTGACCAAATCAGAGCTCTTTAGAATAATAATAATAATAAATTAACTAAAATCATAATTTTGTATGTCTAATAAGTTCGCTATTGACAACAATTGCCGAGAATTTTGTTTATCTGTTATAATCTAAATCCATCCATAAAATAAAGTAGTAAGGGTTCAAAAGACGATGAAGCGCTTCGAGGAAAAGTAGGTAGTGAGTGCCCTAACGCTTCGCTTGGCACGTCTTGTCGACTTGGCGAGGGCACTGCCGTGCCCCCTGATATTGTATCAAAAGTTTAAAAAAATGAGTTTTCCAGATATATGGAAGACGAATTGTAACTAAGGAAAAATATTTTGAGAAACATACAAATATTTTTTGACCATTCGAAATATTATTTCTTTCCATTCCAGAGAAGTTTTGTGAGCCCTATTTACAGTTATGTATGATATTCAAATTAAATTTTAACAACCATGTGCTTTAATATTAAAGTGAATTGACAAATACATCAGATTACCAAAGTTAACGTTACACAAATTTATATTCCAACGGTTAATTTATTACTCACATATTTATTAGTCACGTTTATACGCACATCAAACATTTATAAAAGAAGCGTGATTTACACTAGTTCAAAAAGTATTTCATGAAATTATTTGTTACTTTATAATACAAAAAAATAAATTGGACATTTAAAAAACCCCCAAAACCCAAAAATAATCGAAAAGAGAAAAATGAACTGTTTTGGGCCTATAACTTTATTTAAGTAGCTATAACTTAGAACAAGATATCGTCAAGCAAGTCGGAGAACCGCTAAGGAAATAGATATTTTCATTATTATTGGTAGGTTTATGAAGTCAAAAAGATTTTTTGTATGGTATTCTCTATAAGCACAGTTGACGAAGTCTGGATCTAACTATTACTATGTAGTTATAATAAACTTCAAGGGACGACGCAGTTTAATTTTACCCTTTTTAGATTATTTTTGGATATCGGGAGTTTTTAAATTTCCAATTTAATTATAATCTTTTTAAATTAATAGTAGACACACTACAAACTACGCTTTGATCGTCATAACTTCATTGTAACCATTCTAATGAGCCCGAACACGCTACATCTACTATAAGTAGCTGAGGAATTGAGACCTCTTAGCTGCTCCACTACTATTTTCTTAACTAGAAATTGTTGTTTTAACGCAGAGGTTATATTCAAAAAGTAATTTTTCATTCATGTCGAAACAGACAAAGGGGCAAAGGGCTATTAGAAAACGATCAATTGTTTACTCAGACTACTTAACACAACGATAATTTATCACGGTCTCCAAAGAGCAGTGTCAGTATGTAGTACTATGTTTTGCTACTGGACGTGTATTTAACTAAGATTGTCAGATATAATTATATAATGTTGTATCTTAAACACATGCCCACCGCCAAATTATGATTTGGCGTTAATCCATCCAATCCGTTTTGGGTTAATCCATAAAATTTTTGAAAGTGAAAAATCGCATTTTATCTCCCTGTGCAGGTTCATGACAAAGATTTATTTTTTTATTAAACGAGAAAGAGAAGTAGAGCTTAGCGGATTTCCCGCTAGAATTGGTGCGTCTGTCTGGGGATGTAACTCTACCTTTCGGCGGTTTTTGTCGGTGTTGAAGTTTTTGCAGGGCTCTACGGGGTAGGATAGGGTATTTCACAGTATTAAAAATAAAGTGCCAATTGTTAGCGTCTGTGTTTAGGTGGAATATTGGCAGGGGTTTTTTTTACTATTTTTACAAAAAAAATATATTCATAATTTTACTAAAAACCCTCGAAAAAGATAATAGTTTTCTTATCTATTGTCACGTGACCCAAAACGCTAGGGAATGGCGGAGCCTAAAATGACGTCACAAGCAAGTAAACTTCCGGTTAAAGTGACATTACATTGTATCGTTTGACGTTTTAATAACAGTCGTGTGACGTCACACACTATAGTAAGACGCCATATTGACCAGAGAAACATTTCGCGGCAACTTGAAAATGGAATTTTTGATTTAGTTATTTTTACTGAAATACACAACAGAATGATGAATATCGGACGGACTTCATAAACATTAGGTCAATAACGTGAGATCGTTGCCTAAAACTTGTCAAATACCCTACTGAGTCAGGTAAAGCAACGGTGCGATGGTGCGAGGGACAGTTTTCGCGTATAAGCTGTGGTGGCCGCTTTCCATCAGGCGGACTTTCGGCTTATTTGCCTTTTAACATAATAATTAAACACACATTCATCATTACAAGATTATAACCCCTACGATAAAGTAGCACGAATACCAAATATGTCAGGTACTCAACTACTAGTCACACTAAAGCTATAACCAATGATCCTCTACACGTGTGCTGAAAGCTGCCGTTAGCGAGGTATGGCGTCTCTTTGTGCAACGGATCGCCGCCACTGAATTCTACCGATGACGCTGAAGTAACGGCCACGACCACGAGAAAAAGAAGAATATACTAGTATAACATACATTTTAAACCTATTATATAATTTAAACGCCCTCTTCGTCTCATAAATTTAAGATTTCAATTTACTACTTATCGTGATAAAGGCTGTAGACATTGTCAACATTTCAGAACCGTTAAAAGGAATGGATTGGTATTTGGATTTACTCACTAGTTTCCGGCAAGCGATGTATGGGATGGACAATTGCTTCGTGTTTTTCTGGCGGGCTCGTTGTCGTAGTGAGTATTTTTTCCCCTTCCGCACTCTTTTCCAAGCTTTTGTGGTAAATAGAGTATATGTTCGCAGTACAACGAATCTGAGAGCAAAGACAAAGATTATGAATACTCGTATGCAAACGTTGTTCAATAAAATAAATTGACAAAATTACAGAGTCTGTAAAATAAAATGACAAAAGATATACCTACGTATATGCATTACAAACTTTTGTCTGTTTGTCTGTCGGTTTGTCTGTATGTTTGTTATTGCATCAAACCAAAACTTCTGAATGAAATGCAATGAATTGTAAATAGGATTGTATCTTGTAACATTAAGTCTTTATTTCAGGCGGCTAGAAATAACAAAATAAAATCGTAAGCGTTAGCGTTTTCCTAAGAATTTCCGTTAGGCGAATGGCCCCCTGAATCCTCTATGTAGGGTTCGGCCTTACGTCTAGGGCAGCAAAAAAAATGTCAACAACCGACCATGTTTTTTGATCACGTGATTAATTTTCAAAGAAACTTTGACTTCTGGCTTACTCTCTTTATATTAGATACTACCAACCTAATTGGCGGCTTTATCTGTTACCAAACAATATATTTATAATGTATTTATTTGTCTTTTGTTATCTTTTTGTCTTTAGCTTAGGTTTCAATTATATCCTTTTCGAAATATCTATTCCCTAAAAATTACTGTAACAAATTTTGAAAATATTGGGAAGGTAAGGTAAGGTATTGTTTAAAACGACAGAAACTACTATAGTATACATACCAAACGTTTAATACTGAACAACTAATCAGGTATTTCTCCGAGATGATGCTTACGTGCACAGTAAATTTTTGTTAATTTCATTTTAGGAGTAAAGGTTATTCAATAATAGCTAATACTGTTAAAAATCAAGCCATAATTAAATTTGTTCTGTTTATTAATTAATAAAAGACAGATCAGTTATGTATCGGGCTGAAGATTAGATTTCACGCCGCAGGGGTTCTTTTTGTTGCCAGCTATTTTTAATTTAATTTCTTATGTATTTTTTGTATAAGGGTTTTTCGAAATAAATATTTATAAAAAAGTACTGTTACAAAATTTTCAAACACTGGAGAGGTAGGGATTGTTAATAAAAACCAGACCCATATTAATAAACTGCTAAGAAACCTACCAAACGTTTAATACTTAACTATTTAGGCATTGTAAAATACTGGTCAAAATTAATTATTGTATACTTAAATTGTTTCCAAAAATAAATAATAGCTGTAGTAAAAGAAAAAAATCTAACAATGAAAAACTAGCATTCGAACTCAGGTTCGGAGTACCGCCCACTTGCCTTACTCCAAAAAACCGATTGCGTTCGGCTATCTGTCATTTTCATTTCAAAGAAATCTCAAGTCACAACGATACTAAATAAGTTTTCGCTTCAATGTATAAATGAATAATGTATTTAATTAAATAGTTAAGATCGTGTCATTGTAATGGGTATTACTTGAATAAAATCTACCGACCTACCCGCCCCGGTACGCTACATTATCTACAGTAAATTATGGATGTTATTTACCTTAATTTTTCCTCTAACGAAGTGATGTTTTTGTAGAACGAATTGTATGGTGCTATACGCTGTCATCAGTCCACCAGGCGACGAACCGTCCACTCTGTGAAGGACGTACTGCGTGTGTGCCTGATAAAATAATAAAAAAAAACAATCAACGGTTGTTTTCTTTCTTAAAAGTTTCAAGGTCTATAGTTAAGTAACGACTTCCTTTATATGGTTGCTGCCGCCCCTCGTTGCCTGCAGCCCAGATCTATGGCCCTTTTGGACTTACAGTATAAATACGACCTTAATTATTGGCTGTGAACGTGTGCTATTAGCGGGGATCATATATGGCTATATAGTATAGCGTAATCTAACATATTTACATCATGAATTAAGAACGATAGGTTTAACCATACTAAAATATAGGTATTTTAAAACATATAGAAAATTTAAATGGGTAAAATAATATCAACATGAACAGTAGCACTTTATTTCATGATACTATATTTTTACACTAGTGGTAAATTTGTATACATTTTTAAAGAAAGAAAGAACTTAATAATATCCCTATAAACCGGAAATTGAAAAAATCTTGAAACATTGAGCAGTCAACAGCGCCCTTCGTCAACTCATATTAAATATAATCTTTGTCGCACAATATATTAATTCTTTTAATCACGGTAATTGTAATCCTACCATTATTATAAATGTGAAAGTTCGTAGGTACGTTTGTTACTAAACCATGCCAAAACTACTAATAATATAATTATTGATATTAACAAAATGCAATAGATCATTTGAAGCCTCAGCATTGTATACCTACTTTTATTTGGAACAGTTTCTATGAATAGAAATATTTGTGATCACTTGGCTGTTGTCTTTTGTTATGTCGGCACTTAACATGGCTTTTCGTATTTGCTATTTGTTATTTTGAGAGTAGGGGAGTCAAAAGTAGAGACTGCTGTCAAGTTTACAAATAACCAACACGAATAGCCATGTAAGTGCCGGCATGGGGTAAAGGTTCAACAGACGGGTGCTGTAATGCGAGCGGAAAAGTTGTTACCCCGACCTTACTTCAAGGAACTTAGAGAGGGTAAACCGATCATTAGTCACGACCATATAATTGAAATTCTGAACTGTTAAGTTGGTGAGAAGGAATTTATTGTTAGTATGGACATATTATACGAGCTTACATTTAGAGTAAATCGAGAAAATAAAATTGAGAAACTGCAGCCAAACGAGACTAGGCGATAGTGGCCCAAGAATCAATACCAATACCGCTGTTGTATTTGTGTAAGGTTATGTTATCTCAACAATACTTAAATACAAACAACTACAAAATCATTCCGCCGACGCATTCCTGCAAAGGATACGTACGAAACGTCGATAAATAAATAAAATCAGTTCATCTAACCCGTTAAAACTTGTTTTATTTAACTTTAATAATATAACTGCTGTTACTCCATGACCATGGCGCTTGCAACAGTGTCGAAATATGGGACACTCGTTATAAACAAGGTACATGGTAACAATCCCGTAAACAACATAAATTACTCTAACGCCAAACTGTTTTTCTAAACTTCTATTTACATAAAACTCAAAGGTAGGATTGGGCTGAAATTTGCCATGCAGGTAGATGTTATGACATAGGCATCCGCTAAGAAAGGATTTTGATTAATTCTACCCCCAAGGGGATAAAATAGGGAATGAAAGTTTGTATGAAACTTTGTCAATTTTAAACCGATCGGGCTGAGACTTTGCATGTAGGTATAAAAAGAATCATAGATGAATGTCATTGTGTATAATACAAGCCTGAGAACAAAAACTGTAGTCTACACTTCAGCTCTACACCGAAGCGAAGCGAGGGCGGGCCGCTAGTTAATCTATATTACCGACTGCTTATTACTTTGTTTAACGATTTTTTTTATTTTGCACATTTTATTGGATTTCGTTTGAAATGGGAAGGTAGAACCGTTGTGTTATTTGTGGTATATAGACCACAGATAGATCTCAGAAAACATACGCTATCTCAAGAATTCTTTTACACAGACAGAGGGCACGTGGAATTCTTATTACAAGAAATAGCGCCACGAGATGTATGTATATATATTTTTATACGCTACAAAATAAAAGGTTGAAATCACTGATGGGTGAGATTTATCAGTTTGTGTCAGGCATCACTCTAGTTATTATAGTTTAAAAATAATCATTGAACATAGGAACTACTCTCTGTAACTTTTTGTTCAATAACTGGGTAAAGATATGATTTTCGTTACATCTCAATATTCCCGTGGGTCACAAAAATGCGCACAAGGTTTAAAATAAGATAAAATTCATCTCTGTCCTCTGTTATTCTTCAACAGTGAAGTTGCCTATGTCCTTCTGTAATATCTATCTTGTCTCATAGACTGTACAAAATAAATGTGTTAATTAGGTATATCATCATAGTATTTCTTTATTTTTTAATTTTTATACCAGAAAACTTCTTAACATACATAATACTCGTATGTGACTATTATAGCATTTTTTATTATTTTTATATGTTGTTTTAACGCTTATATATAAAAAACCGGACAAGTGTGATTCGGATTCGCCCACCGTCTCCTTTTACGAGTACTTAGAAGTTAGAATTTTTCACAGCTTCAAGGTGCCGTAGATTTATTTATTATTATGCCGCGTCCCCGAGAAAAGGGTCTTGACAGACAGACGGACAGACGACATCAAAGTGTGCCTATCTATTTTTCATTGTTTCATATTTACGCTTAAACCATTAAATTTTGTAGCAAGCTTCGGTATTCAGATTTTGACCCTGAACAGGGCAGTGGATGAACCTCAGCATATTAAAACTCAAGATACATTTGATTTATTTAAATTTAAAGTCTTTTTTAAAATGGAAAAACTTGTAAGACTTTAACTTATACACGATAAGAGCTAGAAAAGTTTACAAATTGCGAAATAGCTTTGTATTATCTGGCTGAACGCTATAAACTTGATACTTTTTACGTCTTCCCTTATTTAGATCCGAGTCGTAAGAAAGTTGGAAGTGTTTATCAAGTGCAGTATTAAGAATAAAAGTTTTTCTCGGAATATAACAAAAGTTTCCGTAACTGTAAGAGATTGTTTGCACAAGCACTTTTTACGGCAAGCTTAGAGAAGCCAAGAGAAACGACCAAAAAATCTGTATTTCATGGGTTGCTATTAGATTAAGAACTTTAATATAGTTGCTACGGCGAACTACTTCTTGTATTTTTCTTCCACAATAATGTTTTCTATTTAAAAGTATAACTTGAATTTGCCGAGCCGTTTGGGGTCATGCTTATAAGCGCGAGTGCCTCTATGCTGTTGAGAAGTCTCCCAAAATACTCCTAATATGTATATGATCTGCTTTGTGTTGTGTTGGGCAACTACAAACCTCTACATTAAGTGTGGCCCGACACGCACGTGGTTGGTCTTTTGTCCCTTTTGAATGACCATAGGTTTTTTTTTATTCTAGTAAAACTTCTTTTCTTTAGATTTAAACATCCAGCAGTTTATTGCTTAAAAAAAATACGACAATATGTTTTCAAAACCTGACGCAAAAAGAGTGGCGCAAGGAATTTATATCCCTAATTTATCGGGTATATAACTTCCTTGAAGGGGCGTTATAAGTCTGACAAGTCTGTCCATTTATCGTACACTAGACGAATGTACCGATTTTGATGCATTTTTTATATTTGAAAGCCAATGTGATCCACTTGGTTCTTCGCTATCACACTAATATAATAAAGGCGAAAGTTTGTGAGTGTGTATGTTTGTTACTTCTTCACGTCTAAATGGTTCGAGCGATTTTAATAAAATTTGGTATGGATTTAGGTAACACCCTGGATTAACACATAGGCTATGTTTTACTGCGGGAAAATATCACACTAATATAATAAAGGCGAAAGTTTGTGAGTGTGTATGTTTGTTACTTCTTCACGTCTAAATGGTTCGAGCGATTTTAATAAAATTTGGTATGGATTTAGGTAACACCCTGGATTAACACATAGGCTATGTTTTACTGCGGGAAAATATCACTAATAAACCTCGGGTAACACCGCGCGGCACAGCTAGTAATTTATACATATCTGTTTACGTTCGACGAGATCTTTAAAAAATCACATTATCAATGACAATAACGATAATAAAATGCTACAGGAAGACCTTGATCGATTCACGTTATATTGTCACGCTAATAAATTAGAACTTAACTTAAATAAGTGTTGTAGTGTTTGTTTTTAAACAGAGCGTGACACTGACACACGTAGGACAGCTGTTTTGTCTATGATAGCGAACCGCTTACGTCAGCGTAGCTGTCAAACTTCATTGATTGGGTTGGTAGCCTTGAGGGAAGAGTCGATTTTCCTATTCGACTAAAATATTCGCCTTGAGACTTATAAAAAAAAAAAAAAAAAAAAAAAAAGTAATCAGGCGGGGAATCTCTGTGGGGGCGCGTGGATGAATGGATGGAGTTTGACAGTTGTTGAATTCTGAATAGTCTTTCCCAGATCGATTTGAGTCCTCATTATCGGGTGCTGTTTTTAATCGATTTTGAATTTTACTCGAAATTGAATTTCCTCGCTGATTTGGGTAGGTATTCCCTTTTCCTCAGCTTACGGCGAGCGTAGGTATATAGTTTTGAGTTTATTCTTCGGTTCGTCTCGAATGCGGCGGCTGTCTGTTTGACTGTGGCCTTTGCCCTCAGTTGAAGTGGGAAACAAATCATAGACACATGTTTGGGAGTAGACGATCCGTCTATCATCTATGAGCAATTGTAAAAACAACTTTTAAAATTTCACAATCTGTTTGTGGTACAGTTAACTTTTCATCTTTTCTTCTGCCCAAAGTATAATAAACGGCATATTATTGTCGTCGAAGTCGTGAGATAGATCCGAAAAGTTTATATCCCGAAGGATATTGGCGGAAAAAGCGCGGAGTCGCTAACCGAACTGAGTTTCGTAGGTGGACGAACACGAACCTTCGCAAGGCGATTGCAATAATAAGGCGGTAACTTGTGATAGGAAACAAAATACTTACGGATAGTTTCATATTTCGAACGGCTTGTACGTTCCCCTCAAGAAATATTGGAGGACTAACAAGGAGACTTTTGTTCTGTACACGGACCA